AATGATGGAAAATATTATTTTCTATCATTTATGAGAATTTTTTAAATGGAAAATAAATGATAAACATCACATATTTTTTGGGTACGATTTACACCAGGTGTGATGCAAATCCTTTCTACTTTGTCCTGTCATTTTAATTTTTTCGTAGTAGCCTTCGTAGTAGACCAGATGGATTCATAGCATATTAATCCCAACACTGATATATGTAACACTGTATAAACTCTCATGGGGAGATGATCCCATCACTCCATTCTACACCCAAACAGGCAAGGCTGTGGGTCAGGTTGAAAGCACAAAAAAGAGAACTTTTGCTCTTTATTTAAACCAAAAGTCCACAAGTCTGTAAATTGAGCTTTATCAGATTCACACCATGTTTAAATTCACATGTCCAGTTATAGTGATAAATTGGCATTATAATGTTTTTGACTCCTGCTGGGCTTTTCTTTTCTCCGTGACATCTCGTAGATTCATACATGCACGTACTGTATAAGACGTCACAGGAAACCACAGTTGGCTTTTGTTTGGTTTCTTTGGGAAACTTTTGTGCCGCCCAACCAGCCCCATCATTGAGGTTTGACCTTTGTTTTGTTTGTTTTTTAAAAAAAAAAAAATCATGCCAGGTTGTACGTTCAATTTGACAGGATTCTGTTTTTAAACTTCCAAGTAATCACTTCTCTTTATTCATTATGCTATCAGAGGGGCGGATAAAAGACAACACAAAATTATTATTAGACCATGTACTCTCAAATCATCTTCATTGTTCATTGGCATTGATTGTACAAGTGGAGCTATACTGGAGGGATAAATATTTCCTCATTTGACATCTTAAAATGCTAATCAAAATCCTCCATATGTGCTCGTTTGAGCTGTAGTATATGATTTGTGTTATTTTATTTTTTTTTATAGTCCGAACAATAATTCCCTCATGCTCTATTGATAGGACCATTCTCACCCTAGAAGACACCACCCCCATCAGATGAAGTTGGGTTTTTTTTGTTTGTTTGTTTTTTGTGACTATCGGTGACCCTGACCCTCTAAAAGGATAAGTAGAACCAATCCATGCCAGCAAAGTGGCCCTCTCAGTATAACTGAGACACCACATCTCCTCAGTGTATGGGTCAAATTCCAAGTTTTTCCCTTTAATATCTCCCTCTGCAGCTCTACTGCAAAATGTCAGTTTTGTTGCACCACTGAACTGACCCAGATGTTTTCTCTTGAGAACAGACCTTGTATTACTCTAGAGAGAAACAGGGGAATTTCCACAGAAACACAGTTTCCTCTCTGCTTGTAACACTGACAACATGGTTTGTGGTGCTGCTGGAGGAAAATGAGGTTGCAAGTTAATGGCTTAGAAAATCCAAAGCCCTCGCTCTGCTGTTTAATCAAAGGCACCGCTTCTGTCTGAATCACTGTCTTAGAGCAGGTCATACAAACCAAGCCAAGAGGAACTCAAAAACAAAGTGTGCGCAAACGTATTTCTCAAGCCTCTGTGTTGGCATACGTTCTCCCAGACAAACCATATGTGTTTAAGCTCAACTGAGCCAGCACACTGAAAGGGCAAACATGAGATCATATAGGACATCAAGAGACAGATGGTCAAAACACATTGCTTTCATAAAATATTTGCATAGCATGATAGTTTGTCTCCTTCTGCAAGTGCACTTTTACTTTTGAATCTGTGTTTGTTTTGTTTATATGCTGTAACTATAGAATTGTACATTTTATTTTACTTGAACTGTATAATGTAATAAATATATTAATTTTAGATGTTATCTTTTTACTAAATGACAACTGAGATTCTTCATATGGTTTCATTTTTTTTCTGATGCTGTCAGGCAGCAACAAAAAATGGTGTAATAGTGTGATCTCATGCTGTGTGAGATTTGATTGGTTTATTGCTCCCTGCTGACGTGGAGGTAATGATGGAAGGGTGTTGACTTTGTGAGCTGTAGGTGGCCATCAGCAGCAATTCTGATCACTCGTTCACAGGCTGTCATCTATGCGCAGTTATTGAGTCAACTGTTGAATTGTTAGCCTGCATTCATCTGTATTCGCTGTACAGTTCATAAAGATAATCAGAGTAGCTATATGAACATTATTTTCTCATTTGTTCCAGTATAGACTCAATAATGTGATGAACGCAATCCAACTCAGTTGTTGCTTAGTAATGTTATATAATCTAACCTAAATACTACTGTACATCTCAAGTAACCTATCCTGTAAATAAGATTTGTCTATTGTCTATTAAGGGTGAGTGTTGCTCATTGATTGTAATGATTATGCAATTCCCAGTAAACTGCTTGTTTTTCATTTAACTCTTTTCACCGGTTTCCTGAATGTTAATGCTATCAGGGATTTTTTTTTATTTTTCTTTGGCATTAAGCCACTGTATTCACTCGGTTATTGCTCAAGGGCGTTGAAGTGCATCGGATCCTGAATGTTGGTGACCCCCAGCCCTCGTGCACAGCAACGCAAGCAGCATTTACAAATCAGATTTATAGCTAGCTGACTTAACAGACCTTGAAATTTAACAATGGGCCCTACTAGGTACATGATTCATTTACCTCTGCCTGCCATTCTTCTGTCAAGTCATTTCTCTCAAAGGCAGTCAGGTTGAGGTTAGGATATCAGAGGGCTCATATGATGAAGAGTAAATGCCCTCTGTCACAATTGTCTGGATTTATGCTCTTCGGTCGATGGAGTAATGGCCAGAGCGGTTTAATGTAGCTCAAGTGGATATATTGAATGATTTATTGATTTTTAGACAGGCTATCAAGATGACTTCATAACCACATTGCAAATTCACCGAGGGAAAGGATTGGTCCACCGCTAGATGGCGCTGACGCATAAGACAGAGGTTTAAATCTGAATTTTAAAGACTTGTTTTTACATGTTTCGTCAGTAGCTTTGAGTGTTGTTTTATATGAAATCAGCCCAACAGTTTTAGCAGTGTAGCATGACTACATGTTTTAAGACATCAGAAAAAAGTCAAGATCTACACCTAATAAAAAGCCCTCTTCCAAGAATATTAGGTCAGATACTGAAACCTTTGCATTACTTCATCTGTTTATTATTTACACAAAGAGGAAGATACTGGCATAAGTGAACAGGAGACAGTACTACACGCATCACTTTCATCAACAAACTCACAGGTGGACAAGAAGGGAAGCAGTACATATTTCACTAATTAAAAAAAAAAATACAAAACTTGAATATATGAAACCACCTTTGAGACCTGTGAATAGATATGGTTAAAATTAGAGTATGACCATGT